GGCACGAAGCCTCCCTGGAGGCTAGGAAGCTGAGGGAGGGGAGCTCAATTTCCCGCCCCTCTCCTGCATGGTCCGGGAAGGGGACGCGATTGCAGTTATTAAGTGACTACTGCATACTGGCCTTGCCTCCGCCTGGCCTGAGGGCAAGATTGAGACCTCCTTCGGGTAAACCAAGGCAGGGAGGTTGGGTGGGAACAGGACCTGCAGCCGCCTTAGAGGCCAGGGCTTGCACTCGGGGGTCTCCATGATGGTCCAGCCCGGCTGCGCTGCTGCAGAGTCACCCAGGCCTGGGGGTCCAGGCTGCAATTCCTCCTCTGGCCACCAGGGGCCGCACCCAGCCTGGATAGCAAGGCTACCAGGCTCCCATCCCCAAGGAAACCCTCCCAGCCTCAGTTTCCCTGTCTGTAAAGTGGGATGCTAACAGGACCAGCCTCCCTGGCCAGGTCAGTGAGTGCAAAGAAAGTGCTTCAGCACCCAGTAGGTGCAAGTGGATGGAGGGCACCTGCCCTGCCTCTGGTGCAGAGGGTGACACCAGACGGCTACCCGGCAAGGCGGAAGTTCCGGGGTGAGAGTTACTTTTGGGTGCATATGGTATCTGCAGAGCCCAAAGGGGCTGAGGGACATCAGGGCCCAGAAGGGGCTGGAGCCTCGACTGGCTGCTGGTGGCTGTGTGTGACAGCTGAGAAGGGCTGAGGTCCCCATTGCAGCGGTGTGCAAGGGGACAAGGCCTCCACGGTGAGGCTCTGGCTGATGGCAGCAGCTTCGTGCCCAGGTCAGGCGGCAGGTTCCAGAGTGCCAGCGGGCGACATTCCTCTCCTGCCTGGCCCCTAGGCAGCGTTTCCCAGTGGCTTTGTCAGCCCCGACCTGACCACAACCCAGATCCCTCCCGGAACGCCCGGTGGAGGCCTCAGTGCAGAGGACCCCGGCCAAAGCCCAAAGCCGGCCCTGATGCTGTCCAGTCACACCTTACAGCCACCTGCAGGTCACGTCAAGGTCGTGGACCTTGCTCAGCCTCAGTGTCCCCAGCTGTGAAATAGCCAGGCAGAGTGACCACACCTGTGTCCCCAACACTCAGAACCCAGCGTGGGGCTCCGTACCAAGAGACACTGTCTCAAAAAAACCCAGAGAAAATAAACAAAAGAACAGAATTTGCCTTGAAGGGTTGTTGACAGGATCCGAGCCAATCCCTGGCAGGTGCTTCACCAGCCTGAGGTCATTTCTGTCACTCCTGCTTGGTCCACCCCAAGAGGAAGTGGTGACCTGGGCTTTGTCAGACTCCCTCACACCCCGAAGGAAAACTCGGAAACCAGCATTCGAGACGTTTGGACAGCTAAACCTGGTTTGGCAAACTTCTATTCACCCCTCAAAGCCCCTATCAAAGTGCCCGCTCCTCCAGAAGGCTTGCCCTGGGGCCCACCTTTGATCGTGCAGGGTGGGGAATCCGTGCCTGGTTTTGCCTCACCCTTCAGGCCAGGGCTCTGCGAGGTCCAGTCCTGGCTTCGTGCAGGGACAGCCATGTCTGTACCCACTGGCCTGTATGGAGACGTCACACGGGGGCAGGGCGTGTCCCCTGCTGGGCCAGCTGCCCCCGGGCAGTGGGCTGACACTGGCCACTCTGCGAGGGAGGCCAAGGCTGTCTGGGGTACCCTGTGCCCCCCCACCCCTGCCTCCCGCCCAGCATTGTTGGCCTCCTGCCTTTGTGCTGAGAGGGAGGGGCCGCCCACCGCCTTTGAGGACAGACAGACAGACATACCTGAGGTTTGGCTCTGCCCGGGCTGAGTCAGCAGCCCAGGACTCCAGGACTTCTCTGGAACAGCGCTGTGACCCGCGCCCCTGGCCCGGCCCCCGGGGTGGGAAGTGCCCTGTCTGTGCTGCACCGTTGGACCCTGGGGTCTGGGGGCTAAGGGCGTCCCCAGGCATTGGGGGGGGGCTGTGAGTGGCCCCTGGGGACACTTGGCACAGGTGTGCACAGGTGCCAGTCCTCCCATGCCGGGACACTGTCCACTCGTGCAGCGGTGCAGGGTCTGGGGACAGCGTCTGGCACATCCTGCCCTGTGCACTTTTGCAGGGTGGCCGGGCTGAGCGTGGCAATGTCACCGGCTGGGTGACACGGAGGTGGCGGGTTGTGAGGGAGGAACATCTGACAGGGCGTGCCGGGGACAGTGTGACCTCAGGACTGGTGACGGGTGTGCCGGCTGGGTGACTCGCGGCCCTGGGTGGGGTGAGCGTCTTCTCCACATGTCCACCTCCCCACGTCGAGCCCCTGCTCTCGGTCCCTGGGTCCCCTCCTGCCACCTGCCCTGAGGGGTCAGTCAAGTATCACTGGCGTCTGCCTGGACTGCGCCATCCCCGCCTCTGTTCCACCACAGAACCCCGGGTCCCCCAGCCGGGTGTCCCCGCCATGCTGGCCCCGGTCTCCGGGGTCTGAGGTGGATCAAATCCACCCCAACAGACGGGCGGAAGTGCTGGGGGCCTCCATGGTGGGGCCAGCGGGGGTCCAGCCAGGCTGGGAAGGGGGGAGACCCCAGGTCCTAAGACTTAAACCCTACAAGGGGCCACCATGCAGGTGCTCCACCACCTTCCCTGGCTCCCCATTGCCCCCTGCTTACCCTCAGTGTCTCCCTCCTGCCTTGCCCACTGGCAAACTCCTACACACCCTTCAAGACCCAGTGCCTGTGTCTCCTTGTCTGGGAACACAGCCCTGCCTCACGGGCTGTGCAACCCCGCACGGGTCATTTCAGCTATGAGTGGGGGTGCAAAGGATATTTGGGGGGGCGCCCAAGACAACGAGTACATATTAGGTCTTGGGGGTCGTGTCCATTCAGCGCCCAGTGTGTGTTGCTTTTCTCTGCCTCCTCTCGGAGTCTTGGGTTTGAAGACTCTTGTTTTAGGCAATTTACTGTTCCAAGATTCTTCTGTCCGCTGCGCTGTGAGGAATTTTAAGAACCCTGCTTCTAAAATTATAAACGTCTACAGCCACGGGCAGACAGACCCACAGGCCTCCGGCTGCCCTGAGCTGACCCCGGGGTGGCGGGAGCCAGGTCTCTGGGGGAGTCCTGCCCCCCCATGCTCGGGCTGAGGGGCTGTGTGCTGGCCGCCCCAGCTGGGGGTGGGGGGGCAATGGATTTTCCAGAAGGAGCATGGCTGACGTTCCAAGAGGCACGGGTGGGAGTGCTGGCCGAGGGCTGGAGCAACGAGCCGCCAGGCAGAGCGGAGGCGTGGACGTGAGCTCAGGGCACCGCTTTCTTCTCCGAGAGCCTCAGTTTCCTCATGGCGACCCTGGGGGGGGGTCAAGGCTGCCCTCTTACAGAACCGCCGGCTGGGTGAGGGGAAGGGAGCCAGCACCCCACCAGTTGCCACCCCAACCCCACTGGCTGCCCGGGCCTGGCAGCAGCAGAGGCCCCAACACTGTCACTGAAAGGTGTTTGGCCGTGGGGCCTAGACACCTCATCACGGGCCTGGGAGCGCCACCCGCCCTGCGGGACCCCACCCCCAGGAAGCCGGATTCAGGTCCCTGTAAACCTGCCATTTGTTTTTGGGGGGTACGGTGATGCAGTAAATGAACATGTGCCCCCTCACAGCCCGTCCTGGGGGAAGCTGGGGAGCCCGGGGCCCCCCCCTTCAGAGACCAGGGCTGCCTCAATGGCTTTGCCAGCTGCTCCAGCCCCCAAGTCCGGCTTCAGGGCACAGGAAGGTGGGAGGGGGGTGGCGTGAGCCAGAGGACCCCCCTCGCAGACCTCCTGGGGACTGGTGTCACCCGACCGGGAGCCCCACACATGTGCAGGTTGGCTGGAGGCTGTCATCCAGGGACCCTGGCTCCTGCTGGGACTCAGGTCACAGCCCAAGGCCTTGGTGTCTGTCTGGAAAATGGGTGTGTGACCAGGACCCCACCTGGGTCCCCGCGGGACCCTCCCTGCCATGCACACACGGGGAACGCAGGAGCCCTGCTTCCCCCACTGCCAGGCCCTGGTCAGGTCAGGCAGCAAGGACCCTGCTGTGGGCAGCTGAGTCACAGCGTAGCCAGGGTGTGACCAGGCCTCAGTTAGGGAGACCCAGGCGGGCTGCTGCGACCCCCTTTCCCTGCCACCTGTCCCAGGCGCTGCCCGGCCAGCTCGGGGCACAGGGCCAGGCCGGCAGTGCTGCTGAGCTCAGTGTCAGGCTCACGAGCGTCTCTGCACAGGTGTCACAGACGTGTGACACACCTGTGCCAGCTCTGCCCACAGCCACCCGGGGCCTCTGAGCTGCCTGCACACGCGTGTCCCTCTCTGCCTTAGGCTCGTTTCTCTGTCCTGGGGGTTTTCTTTTTTGGGGACGGGGTCTGGCTGGGCAGCTCAGGCTGGCCTGGTTCTCCTGATCCTCCTGGGGTCACTGGCGAGGCCACCGGGCCTAGTACCTCCAGGACATTTCTGCCTCCCCCCTTGGTCCTCAGAACTGACACCATACCACAAATCGGACAGAAAGCGTTTTTAATTGAGCCCCCCAGCCCTGCCCCCACCCGGAGGGGGAATTTCCTAGCACCAAACAGAAGAATTGTCACCCCAGAACCCAACACCCCCTCCCCCACATTCCTCAGGGACCTGGACCCCACTCACACCAACAACCAGTCCCCACCCACGGGGCTTTATCTCAATAAATAACCCCAGAGCAGAGCCGGGGCAGGAGACCCCATAAAAGCTCAGAGGTGGAGAGGGCTCAGGCCACAGGGCCACACATGGAAATCAAGGTCAAGGTCAAGGTCAAGAGGCCGGAGAAGGTCAGAAATAGCTTGGAGGGGGGTGGGGCACTGGGTCCGTCCACAGAGCAAATTCATTTCCTGTCACACAGCCACAGTCCCCTGCCTCCCGTTTCCACCATAGGACACTCCCAGTGTGACTAAATCCTGGATAGGGCCGGGCAAGGGGCCCTAGGGACCCCAGGAGGCGGCATCTGAGGAAGAAGAATTGGGGGGGGCGGGGGGCTTCCCAGAGACAGAGGCAGGGGAGTGAGGTCATGGGCCCAGGTCACTGTCCTGGGCGGCTTCCATTGGACCCTGCAGCTTGGGTCTGCTGTGCCCGGGCCACCTCGCCCATCTCTCTGCGGATGTCACCGAGCGCTGAGGACGGCGACTCCAGCAGCCTCTGGAAAAGGCTGGGCCTGGCCGGTGGCTCCCGGCACTGGAAAGTGACAGCGGTGCCCGCGTCCGCCTTCATCTCCCTGGAGAAGCCATCCGAGGAGCCATCGAAGCAGCGGCCGATGGCAATCTCCTTGGCGAGCCGCGGGCTCTGGTCCGTGACTGTGTAGACACCGTAGTTGTGACCCAGAGGGTCCAGCGGGGCCAGCATGGAGAAGGCAGCCAGGTCGTCGGAGGGCACAGGCGGGGGATGCCGGGCGAGGTAATCCTGGAGGAGCCCGTTGACGGCCACTCGGCGGCAGCTGCCCTGCGGCGTGATGGTCACCAGCGTCCTGTCCACCTGGCGCTGGTCAAACAGCATCCCGCTGCACTTGAACTCCACGCAGGCGGCCGAGGTGCCGGGCCGCTCGGGGTCACGCACGCTGCGGGCATCGCGCAGCCCATAGAGCTGGCCCCGGGTGCGCGGGTGGCTGCCGCCCGCGTTGTGCGAGCGCACCATGTACTCCTGGGGACCCTGCACCTTGACCTTGAGGAAGCAGGCCCGGAACTCCTGCGGGTTGGGCCACCAGGCCAGGAGGTCGCGGGTCCAGGAGGCGGGCGCGCCCTCGCGGAAGGGGACCACGTTGAACTCGAACTTGTCGGCCTCCACGCGGGAGAAGCGGAAGTGGCTGGCGGTCACCGGGGCGTCCTGGCACTCGCGCAGGCTGCGCCATGGGTACACGGGGCCGTGCGCCTCGCCGGGCGCGCCGGGCCGCGGCTTGGCCAGGTTGATGCGGAAGGCCGTGCGCTTCTGCGCGGGGTCGTCGTGGTCCGTGCGCCGGTAGCCCAGCCGGGCCAGGTAGGGCTGCGTGACGCCCACCACGGTGGCCAGCGGCCCGGGCTGCGACGGCGCGGGCTCCAGCTCCTCGCCACCCAGGGTGGCGGTGACCACCGCCGTGTAGGCGTCGGGCCGCTCGGCGTCGCAGAAGGCGGGCAGGCAGGCGCCGTTGGGCCCGGTGACCGCGCTGTCGAAGCGGCCCCAGGCGCGGGGGTTGGCGCTGAAACCCGGCAAGGGCTCCATGTTGACCAGCGTGACCACCACGCCCTCCACCTGCTCGCTGGCCGTGAACTTGTCGTTGGCGTAGGCGCGCACCTTCACGAAGCAGCGGCGGCGCTCGGGCACGTCCAGGTTGAAGAGGCGCCGCTCGCGCAGCTCCACGCTGCCCACGAGGAACGCGCGCTCCTCCCGGCGCGCGCGGCCGGCGCGCGCGGGGCCCTGGCGCGCGAAGCCGCCCTCCTCCTCCCACAGCCCCGTGTCCGGGTTCAGCGACCACAGCTGCAGGGCCTCGGCGTGGCCGGCCATGTGGATGTGACCGGCGGCCACGCGCACGGTCACGGGCCCCGCGTGCAGCTGCTCGGCGGAGCCCGGCGCGCGCAGGTCCACGGAGAACATGCCATAGGTGCGCAGCGGGGCCAGCTCGCCGTCGCCGTCCACGAAGCGCAGGTCGCTGGGGGCGGAGGCCGCCGAGGACAGGTCCCTGGGGTCCACGAACGTGACGCGGGCCTCCACGGGCCCCGAGTAGGGCCGGCCATCCGCGTGGCGGAAGGACCCAGGCGGCAGCAGCAGCTCGCCCAGGGGACCCTCTCCCTCCGGGTCCCCCAGCGGGATGGCGTTGCCCTGGCTGGTGTCCAGAAGCACCGCCGCCTCCTTGCGCAGGGCCTTGACCTCGTGGTACACGCCCGCACCGCGGGGATCAAAGGGCAGGACGCGCACGGCGTCCACGAACTCGCCACTGGGGTCCACGAAAGTCACTACCAGGCGCTCGGTGGAGGGCGGCACTTCGATGGTGAAGTCGCCCTGGTAGGACGCGAAGCCGATGGGCTCCCCGCCCAGCAGGATCCTGGCGAAGCGCAGAGGCTCCCCCGTGTCCGCGGCCACCACGCGGCCCCGGACCAGCCCCCGGGGGGGCAGGCACTTGTGGCAGCCGCACTCGGCCACCACCTTCACCGGGAGGACGGAGCCCGAGCAGCGGATCGCCCTGCTCTCCAGGCGGCGCACGGAGCAGCAGCGGGAGCCCGCGTCCCCGCACCGAGCGCCCGAGCCTGCGGGCCCGGGGCAGCGGGTGTCCGGGCACAGGCCCACGTCCAGGTAGGCAGGGCCACCGCCGGGCTGGCCGCACTCGTCCGGCAGCTTGATCAGGTGCTCTCGGGGCCGCGGGTCACAGGCTGGCTGCCCTGGGGCTGCAGAGCCAGGGAAACAGCGAGGTCAAGGGCAAGGGCAAGGGCAAGGGCAGCGGGAGCCACCATGTCCCAGCTGGGTCCTGGGGTGGAGGGTCAGCCGGTGGCTAGGAGTGGGCATCGGCTCAGTGGCGGGGCTCGCTGGGGTCTGGGGCCAGCTTTGCTCACCGAGTACCGTGAGCTGGGCGGTGCGGGAGCGCACGGCGCCCGCCTCGTTCCACGCCTTGCAGTGGTAGAAGCCCGCCTGGTCCACGCGCAGCCCGCGAAGCTCCAAGTGGGCTCCGGACCCGTGCTCTCGCCTGTCCAGCAGGGTCCCGTTGTGGAACCTGGGTGGCGGGTGGACGGCACCATGGGGATCCTTGTGTGCATGGG